TAAGTACATGTATATAAAAAATGAATAAATATCCTTGTGCTCACTTGCTGCTTTATATTCTTTAATGTTTTCAAGCGCTGTAGCTAATTTGCTCAAAGTTGCTCTTCCTCGTCTCAACCATAATGACAGCATTTCCCCTGCAATTGTCTGTGAGCTGTTTCAATAACTGCTACTTTTTAGTTTAATTAGTTTTTTAAACAAACAAGTCACACACCTAGTTTAGGGTATTACAAGTAAAATGTAAATTAATAGTTATTGTTCCTTTCATGAAATTATGTTGATTGAGTCAATGTTGTTAAAGGTTCAATTTTAATATCTATAACATAATAATATGCAATGTATACATAATATTCACTTACCAGCAGAACCAGGAACATTAGATTTCAAGCAATGATTAACCAATGCACTCAACGTACCTATTGCAATAGTGACAAAGGCTCCTATCAAATAAATATCTGGTTATGAGCAGTTAGGAACCACACATAATATAGGCATACTATACATTCTATAATATAAATATAATCATAATCATAAACTTTAATAATATTAGCATAAATCAGCTGCTGAACTTTACTTACCTATTATTGGACCTTTAAAGTCGGGGAAGCAATATAATATAAAAGATAGGAAAATGATAATGATTATAATCATCAAGGTAAAGCCAATCTCTTTCCTATAATTTTCCAAGAAACCACCTATACAGAGTAAAAATAACATGATAATCTCATTCTCTCAAAACCTTTTTTGGTTTGTGAAATATGAGAAGCAAGCTGCTGCTGCTGCTGAGATTGATCAACATTATGAGTTCTTTGTCGAACTATTTAAAATGACAATGATAGTATTATTACATTTATTAACCTCCTCCCCTATCTTCTTTCTTTGATTGTTTCTCTTCTTCTTGAGTGCTCCCTCTAGTCTCTTAATAATAATATTATTTAAAATAAGCTAATAAATAATTATTATTATATACATACCAACAGCAGGAGTCACTTCTTGTTGTGGAGAATCAGTCTGACATTCTCCTAAAAATAATATTATAACGATAATAATAACAATAAGAGATTGATCAACATTATGAGTTCTTTGTCGAACTATTTAAAATGACAATGATAGTATTATTACATTTATTAACCTCCTCCTTTATCTTCTTTCTCCAATTGTTTCTCTTCTTCTTGAGTGCTCCCTCTAGTCTCTTAATAATAATATTATTTAAAATAAGCTAATAAATAATTATTATTATATACATACCAACAGCAGGAGCCACTTCTTGTTGTGGAGAATCAGTCTGACATTCTCCTAAAAATAATATTATAAACAATAATAATAACAATAAGAATTATACTATCTACGAGAAAATTTTAAATCCTTATGAAACGAGACACCTACGGTGCTTGAACTCGCCGCAGTTGCTCTTGAAAAATATACACTCCAAATTAGTTATGTAAAATTATTCATGAGAGTAATATATTTATTCCGAAGCTACAAAATTTTCATGTATGAACATTATTATTGTACTCGCCAGAATAAATTTTAATAGACTAGTAACTTTTAGTTGCTTGTTGTTCAATGAAGTTGCTTGTTTTGAAATTGATCTTACCATCATCACAAGGTATGTTTGCAGATTTCATGCATGTAGTAAAATATGGTCAATGAATTACTATTAAAATAGAGCTTGATAAAAGTGATGGCTATGCAAGGATATAAAAGTCCCTCAATAGCCTCCAAAAATTTGTTGCTATTGTTTAGTATGCATGTGAACTTCTGAAGCCTAGAATATGATTTTATACTGAATGTACATGATCATATCATCGTGGGTTGCACTCTATGAATTTTGTTAATAACCAAAATAAAAATGTAGCTCCAGTCAGATGTGGTCTATTTGTATTAATGTATTTCTAAAAATGCATCTCACTATTGAAAACAATCAATCATGGTCTTTATCTCTATCATGCAGCATGATAGAGATAATGACCATGATTTATTACTTTAGTTTAATCGTGCAGGTTCTGCACTGACGCAAGTCAAGAGAACTTTAAAAACTAGAACCTATTATGATGGCACAAATACTTTTGTCTTGATAGATTTATTTATTTAAGGGATCATGCACAAGACAGCAAAGAATTATGCATTAAGAAATGCAAGCAGGTAGCTAGATTGCATGTAAAATTGCCAATTATTAATAGAGGCGTGGCTTCCTTACCAATAAAATGGCCTTAGCATGACATGTGACTAAAGAAGCTTAAGTTTTTTTCTTCTTACGAGTGGCTTATGATAAGCTATAGGGCACAATACTGTTGCCTAGATATATTTAAAAGAGTTGAGAGAGTCTAGTACTGCTTGCCTACCGCATTTCTGCCTCAACCCTTCACAAAGTCGGACGGCCTGAATGAAGTTTGGAACATAAGTCTCTACCAAGTAAGAATTTAGAAATTCTACACATATTAATGAATTAGAAGGTAGTTTTCTACTGGAAAATGGCTTTATCTATCTCAAGAGTGTCAGCACAATCGCTGTATTTTTTAAATTTTTCACCCATACTTTGCAAGCTTTTTCTCCCTAGCGCTGCTCATTAAACATTTTTAGCTGATAAATGAAGGCTTGGAGTAGCTATGGAGAAAAATCCATGAGACTAGAGGACTCAGTTTTTTAATTAAAAAAATTTCTTTAAATCTAATTAAAAATTCATGATCACAGACAGACAACCAAACTACTTAATACTCGCCTACGCGGCGAGTCCAATTATTAAAATGGAAAATTACTTCTTGTTAACACTGCAGGATAATACATAGTAAAAACAATATAATTTCAAAATATTTGATATTAAATATTTTGATAGTTGTTACTACACCTACTTAACACCTTGAGCCTTGAGGACAGGTGTTAAGTAGGTGCTTACAAGCTTGGAAAATATTACAAGCAGTTTCCCCAAGTCCCATCTATGTGTAGGCTTCCCATATGAGCTATGAAATAAAATATTTAACATCATTACATTTACATTTGTCAATAGTTTCTCATTCCCTCCACATTTACCAAGTCCAACTATACAGTATGATTAATCTAACAGTCAATACTCAAACTGATACTAACTTACTTTGTTTGCTGACTGAAGGACTGTGTCTTCTTCTATCAGTGTCTTTACTAGTAGCAGTAGCTCTGCCAGTACTACTGATCCATTTCTTGTATTCATCAGCTAAAGAATTAGCTCTAATGACTCCTAAGGCTTTGATCAGTTGTCCTCTTGTAGCGTTAGGATTTGTCTCCAACCAGAGGTCGTACATGTCCTGTAGTCTTTCGTTTATGGTGTGTCTCACATGTTCTATGGCCTTTAGATCTTTCATATCCAGTTCCAATATTACCCCTAGTCTCAGCCACTTTGTACTAACGTCTACATGTGTTACTAACTCGTTCAGTGTTGGCTTGCCCTCCATTACTACTCTCAAGATCAAGAAGTCAAGAACTCACCGCCTACTTGTGTGGGTAGTAGATACTTCATTCAAAAAAGCATAGATAAGGAATTAAAAAATAACTAAAAGAGAATTAAGTACTATGTAAGAATGTAAAACATTAATTTTAGGGGCGAACCTAAGCAAGCAAACTACATACAATAGATCTTGACAAAACAATAGCCATGCATGATTGAAGCAGCTCAGAACTTGGAGTTCTTGATCTACCTTTTTAATCAAAGTCTAGCATTTAATTAATTAATTTAATAAATCTTTTACAAGATGTACAGAAAATGAAGTAAAAACAGAAGTTGAAGGAATGCCACCAAGTACTGATTTAGGAAGCATTAAAGATAGCTAGAAGCCACTGCACGATATATATAGTAGCTAAGTTAGTCAACTGTAGCAATTTAGTCCAAGCAAGAAGTTGCTTCACAGTACTGTACGAGGTCGAGTACAAGGTAGTGTAATAAGTCGAGTTAATGAGTTAGATCTAGTCTATTATAATATCAAAAAGACGAGTTTTATAGTTACTTTATTGCATCTTTGTCTGGATGCTGGAGAAGCCTTTAGATAGAAATTCTGTCTTATTTTGCTGCTAGAAAACTCATACCTTAGTTGATCGCAATTAATTTTGTGACCACTCCCACTTTAATGAAAATTGACTATGTGGGGTGCCGGTGATTAGGCTGACTTCCTCCAATTAACGTTAATTATCAATTGCAACATTTTAACGAAATTTCACAAAATTGACAGTCCATGCTGTCATGTCAGAGAATGATTTATATACACAAAAAATATTAACAAACACAAAAAGACAAAATAGAACACAATAATAATTTCATTTCACGCTTCACAACAAGTCTTTAATACATTCCTCCCATGCCGCCCATACCACCCATTCCCCCTCCAGCTGGCATTGGTGGATCCTCCTTTGGTATTTCAGTGACTACCACATCAGCTGTAGAGAGAAGGGATGCCACGCCAGCAGCATCTTGAAGAGCTGAACGCACCACTTTAGTTGGATCAATAATACCTAATACAATTAACAAGATTCTCAGTAAATACAAAAAAAGAGAGAAGGATAATAAGGTACCTGCTTGTATCATGTCTACGTATTTGTCATGGAGTGCATCATAGCCTTCATTAGGGTCTGGGGATTGGAGGAGTTTATTTACAACTCTCTCTGAGTCTACTCCAGCATTCTTTGCTATAGTCTTGCAGGGAGCAGTGAGAGCTGCCTTGACAATGTCCACACCTGATTCCTCATCATCGGACTCTGAGGTAACGTTGTTCAGTGAAGGGATACACCTGTGAAATAAAAAAATATAGAAAAAAAGAACATTAAATTCTATTGCTATTCAAGTTTCTGCAACATGTAAATACATGTTTAAAAATTATTAAAAAAATTTTCGTGGGGTTTGGCCAAATTTTGAAGTCACAAAAATTCCAAATACTAGAAAAGAACGTAAAACATTGAGGAGCTCCGCCTCCTGACTGCACCTCCCAGTCACGCCCAGACCTACGTTCAAGTTCTTGTAAGTAAGGGCTTTGCCAATTAATTTTTTGTTTATTATCAAATTTACCTCAGTAAAGCCACACCACCTCCAGGGACAATGCCTTCCTCGACAGCAGCTCTGGTAGCATTCAATGCATCATTCACACGATCCTTTCTCTCATTTACTTCAACATCACTAGATCCTCCAACCTTCAGCACAGCAATCCCATCCGAGAGCTTAGCGAGGCGCTCTTGGAGTTTCTCTCTCTCAAAGTCGCTCCGACAGTCCTCAATCTCTTGCTTTATTTGCTCTACACGATGCTGCACATCAGCATCAGTGCCCTTGCCTTATAAGGAAGAGAAACAATAATCAACAAAATCATCAATAATTAATTATTCGTTCTGCCTACCTCTCATCAGGAGAGTATCGTCTTTAGTGATCAAAACTTCACCGACTTCGCCTAGATCAGACAACTTGACATCTTCAATTTTTAACTGTATGCTCTCATCACCAAACACCTATTAAAGGAAATACCATACATTAACTAACTAAGCTAGCTAGGCATTGAAAAGTGTTTAAAAGCTTTTAAAATGGCCATAACTAAAAAAATTTAGTCAGAATTTGCTCAAACTTGCTACATAACATAAGACATGTATATGTATCAGGAAACAAAAATGGACAATTCTTTCCTAGTCATTTTTAGCAAAATTCAGCCAAAGCCCCTGTACTATAGTACAGGGACTTTGGCTTGATTTTTAAGTAATTTTAAAAATTCGTAAAAATCCAATTTTGATTGAAACCAGCTTAAACTTGCTACACAAAATAAGAAAATGTATATGTATCAGAAAACATTATAAAAATGGACAATTCTCTTCTAATCATTTTTGATAAAATGAGACCTGAGACCATGTACTATAGTACAGGAACTTATGTCCAACTTTTACATCAGAAAATGTAATAAAAATGCAGAATTCCTTCCATTTCAGTTTTGACTTACTATTCCTCCAGTTGCTATAGCTAAGTCAGTTAGTTGGTTCTTTCTATTGTCACCAAACCCTGGAGCCTTGACAGCTGCAACTTGTAGCCCCACCTTTAACCTATTAATAACCATTAATGACTAACCACACCCACACACATGGTTGCACCTGTTCAGTACTAGTGTTGTCAGTGCCTCTCCATCAACGTCTTCTGCAATTATAACAAGTGGGCGGCGTTGAGCGTTAGCAAGCTCAAGAGCTGGGATCAGCATCTGGGCAGAGCTAATCTTCTTCTCCGATAGTAAAAGAAGTGCATTCTCAAATTCAACTTTTTGTCCTACATTTAAAAAAGAAAATTAAAAATTGTGGCTTATCTTTAAAAAATTATAAGAGATCTCAAAAAATTATTTTAAAAATAAAACTATGGATACCTTTACTGGAGTTAATAAAGTAAGGCGATATGTATCCTCTGTCAAACTTCATTCCTTCGATCACTTCCAGCTCATCATTAAGAGTCTTGCCATCCTTAACAGTGATGACACCATTCTTGCCAACTCTTTTCATTGCCGATGATATGAGATCTCCAATCTCTTTGTCGCCATTGGCAGAAATTGTAGCCACCTAAAAATAAAAAATACATACATTATAATACAAAATATTCCCTTTCTTGGCTTACTTGTGCAATCTCCTCTGGGGTTGTGACTGGTTTTGATAGATCCTTAAGTGCGGTGACTACAGCAGATACAGCTCTCTGAACTCCAGTCCTCACTTCATTAGGGTTGGCTCCGTTGCTCACACGAGTGAATCCGTCTTTAGCAATGGAGTGTGCTAATACAGTAGCTGTTGTGGTACCATCACCTTTTGATAATAATAAAATTGTGAAGCTTTGATCTTTAACATATGGGCTGTTGCAGGGCTACACATTAAGCTAATGTCAATGTTCACACATTTTTACACCCTAAAACTACTGTGTAGCTAGAAATTTCTGTGGCACAAAATTTCTGCTAATTTTGTGGTTTTAGAAAAATTGCAGAAATTTAATCCTCAAAATTTTGGTAGACAATTTATTGGCCTATTTAAATTAAAAGGCATGGTAAATTTGCAAAAATAAAATCCGCAAAAGCTATTTTGATGGCGATTCGCAAAATATTTGGACCACAGAAATTTCTAGCTATACAGTATTTTTTAAAATTATTGATGACCCAACACCCAATTACAATTTATCTTGTATGTCTCTCATTATTGCAGAAGGTCTGATCATTATAAATCTGACAATATGAATACTAATCATTGAGACGCTGTACTGCTATCACAAACACTTAATCTTTAAATATTATCTTTTTCACCAAACCCTCTTCACAGACCTGCCTCCTCATTTGTGTTATTGGCAACGTCTTGGACCAAACGAGCTCCTAAATTCTCTCTCTTGTCAGGGAGTTCTATAGCTTTAGCAACAGTCACGCCATCTTTAGTGATCTTAGGGCTACCCCATGACTGTTCTATGATGACATTACGTCCCTTTAAAGATGGAAGACAATAAAATAGAGTTCAGTATCGGTACAAACCTTGGGACCCAGTGTAGCAGAGACGGCTCTAGCTAATGTCTCTACGCCAGTAAGCATCGAACTCCTGGCATTCTCCCCAAACGCAATCTCCTTAGCATATGATCTTGACTGTAGCTTTGAGACGGCTCTTGATACGGGCCTGTAAAGACTGGCTGTTCTGTACATGTTGCTAGGATGAAGAGATGATTGTATAACAAAGCAGCAACGTGCTTGCTTCTTCTGATGTAACTGTCCACGTGGTCAGTAGACTTTTCTGGAATGCTCTGCGCATGCTCTTCTCTTGGCAGATTGCCAATGTGCGCATGTCCACTTTCCCACGTGGAAGTTACATCAACTTTGCTAAAGGAGCTTACAGAAATGGTAGTGTTAAAAAATTCCTTTTCTTTGCTTTATTTTTCTTTTAGGCAGCACTGAGACGCTTCAAGCCTCTTTTGGACCGTGTTCTTGTTGAAAGAGTTGCTGCTGAAACGGTACAGTCCAATACTCGAGTGTATCCTCTTTATTTTTTTGCTTTTTTTTTCTGCAGAAAACGAAAGGTGGCATAATGCTCCCTGAGAAAGCTCAAGGGAAAGTAAACGAAGCAGTAGTCGTTGCTGTTGGCCCAGGAGCAAAGAATGACGTATGTTGGTGTCATTAATTATTTTTGCTGTAACTCATTTTTAAAAATTTAATCAAATGTTTGATTGTAATTGTAAATCTTTTTATGTACAGAAAGGAGAACTAGAAGCAGTCAATGTTAAAGTTGGCGACAAAGTCTTAATACCAGAGTATGGCGGAACCAAAGTGATATTTGATGAGAAGGTAAAGCCGTTGTTGTGTGGGTGTATTTATCATTGCCATGTCTCCACCCATTTACAGGACTACCTCCTGGTTCGTGAAGGAGACCTACTTGGAACATTTGATAACTAGTTGAAATGAATTGTTAATTATTGTCTATTATTAGACTCGTCTATTATCATTTATCATCTCTTGTGATTTTTTTGTTATTTTCTGTGAATATTAATGAGTGAAAAATACTACATTCACACGATTCTACATTCTTAGGTTCATAGATCATAGTACACATATACACTAAATGTAACAAAATAATAATCTAGAAAGCTAATGACATGATATGCATAATATAGTATTAACACAAAACTCGCTAGTTAATTAATGCTAGTCAAGTAACTACTACTTAATAACTAGTTTCTTGAGTGCTTCTGTTGTGAACGACTTTGGTCTCTCGATTGGAAGGCCAAGAGCACGGTCCCACGTCAGTGAAGCCAGGACACCAAGTGCTCGTGAAACACCAAAAAGAACAGTGTAATAACTCATCTCTGTCATACCATAGTGCTGAAGAGAGGGGGGGAAAGAAAGAATGAGAGATGTATAAATTAGTTCATTTGGTTTACATAAAAAAAGAATAATATACCCAAAACAGCCTTTTCATGTACACATATTATTAATAACAGACTCTTGGTAATATGCAACAGAGAGAAACAAGAGTATTATAGA